TATTCAGCAGAAAAAGGAAGGGAAGGGAGTAAAATATGTTTCATTGATAACGATCTTATATTAAAAATAAATAAACTTCGGAATAAAAAGAAACGAGAAAATTAATAATAATAATAAAGAGAAAAAAGTTTTACGAAAGACGCAAGAACTAAAATACAATTTTTAAATATGTAATTTATAGAATAATGTCATTGGCCATTACTTTCTATTACTTGGTATATTAAACTAATAAATTCAAATAAAATTTTTAGATGACAACAATAAAATAATACAACTTGACATTAAAAATAAAATATTTTGAATAAAATATAATTGAATTCTTAAATGATAAAAAGTATTTAAGAAATTTTTCATCGAATCTTAAGTTATAATAGTCAATTAGTATTACGACAGGAGATTTTTAATAATTAGAGAGAGAGAGAGAGAGAGAGAAATCATTTCTCGTTCAATTCCCGATAACAAAATAATCAATGAACGTTTACAATATTAAAAAACAGATTTGAATCAATCAAAAATACACAAAAAATTGAAAATTAATTAAATATACTTTCAGTTATCTTAAATTGTGTTATATATAATTTTTCCAATAACCTTTTCCCTAGTTTGCAGGAAACTCCGAACCTTCTTCTCGGAGGCGACCAAAAATCAAATTTCTTCCCCCCTCCCGAAATTCTTTCATAAATTGGAATTTCTCGCCGTCCGAAAAATTTGCAGATATAGAGAACGAAAGCAAAACAAGAATTCTTTTGATAAAATTGACTTGTATGTCATATTTGATAGAAATTGATTGAATGACATGAATTAAATTATACACCAGCATTTATTTTACATATAATCTCATTACCTATGCAAAACTTTCCCTCGTATTATTGAAAAAGTAATAAACATTAGTTCAATCGAGTATAACGACTTAAATATTGATGTTTATGTATTTTTTTTACGTTAATGTTCGAGCTTAAAATCCAGTTCTATATATAAGTCGTGCTTGTTTATGTGTGCAACAATCTAAAAATTACACTAGAATTATATAAAATGAAAGAAAAAACTGTACACTATCAAATTTAGCTTAGTTTACTTTTTCTATTTTTATACATTTCATTAAAGTATTGCAGAAATGGATACCGAACTTACACTAACTCCATTCATTTAACTACACAATTAGAAACGAAAATAAAGCTTTGGACCTTCCGCATCTCGACAAGTTACTAAAAATCATGCTTTTAGATATGGGATGACATAATGAAGTAAATAAGACTGACCAAATATCAAACTTGGCCGTTTTAAACACTTAACGAACCAACCAAACACCTGGTATTGCCGAGAAACGTTTATTAAACGAAACACTAACATTTTCAAGCTAATAGAATAGGCCATCTTCGGGCGTAACCGAATTCGAAGAACATAATTTTAAAATTTTAAAATTCTAAGAAGTTTTAAAACACCTCTCTCTTTTTCTAGTAAATTTTTTAATTAAATCAAAAGAACTAATGTTTTCGGCTACGATTTAAATAAAGAATTTGCTAGATAAAGGTGTTTTAAAAAACTTATTTACAAAATTTAAAGAATTAAAAGCTATTGGCTTTCTTCATTAACGCATCACACAAGAAGTCACAACAATTCTTTAAAGTCTACAAAACTAGTAACCGAAACTTAATTATTTACCGAAGTTCTAGCCTTCTGCACACAGAATTTAAAATTCTAATAACGACCGACAATAAGAATCCGGTAATAGGAAAGTGTAAACGAATCAAATACAGCACCACCTAAAATAAGCCACGAGAGATTCCTCTCCCTTAGAACGAATTTGTCGAGACCGAACCGTAACGGCCGTAAACGTCCGAACGCTTAAGGGCAGTACTCCGGGTAGTCGCCGACGCCGATTCGAGAATCCGGCGGGAAAGGGAAGAAAACGCAAAAGAGATCTGCGTCCGTCGGGACGAGTCCGGTCGGGCCACGCCACCGCCAGAAAACTCCATCACATGTGCACGCCAAAAGTAGAAAGTATTGATTGGAAGAGAGTTAAATTCTACTCCACGTTAAAAATGCACACAGGCAGTGTGGTCAAGAGGCATTAATAACGAGTGTTACTATGTAAGAAGTAGAACATGTGGACTAGGAGCGAAGTAGAAGAAGATGTAAAAGTGGAAGAGCTAGCTCCATCTTTTTGATGCTCCGCCGCCCACCCGGTTCGACCCACACACGCACACACACGGCAACACACAGCACACAGCACACACACACACAGAAGAGCACACAAAACAACTGATTTTAGCAACGTACAGAACTCGTACAGTACGAATATTACGCGTCGAGAACGTTATTTAAAACGTCATTATCGCACGCGATACGGTTAGGCCTAACTACCTACCATGTTCAGAGTCTCGTCGTCACCACTTTCGTCTTCATTTTGCACCTCGTGACATTCGCCAACACCCAACACACTACAGTTTCACGACTTATGGTGTTGTAGTAGACTATACCAACCGTTATATATCGATCCAAGCCTCATGGATACCTCGTGGAAATCAATGCACTTTGGGATCTTCAGCTGTGGCGTAGTAGCTTCGCTGTTGGGATTCACCTCTTTTTTTTTTATTTTTATTTTATTTTCTTCTTTCTATTTTATTTATTTATTTTTTTTTTTTACTTCCTTTTTCTGGCGGGATGACGTCAATCAACCCCTACTACGTCCAATGGCTCGGCAAGTAGCTGTGACGTCACCGACGGGCGTGGCTTACTCCGTTTCAGCCTCTTAACATCTTCTGCATCTTCGTCTTCTGCTTCGGTTTGGCGATTATTTAAAACTCCAACCGATCGACTCTTACTCTTTATATTAATAATCGCAGGCGGATTTAATGCTTAATAAAATTACTCCCGTTCGTATCGGTTGTTTCCCGATTTGTTTCGGTATTTTATTTTATTTATTTATTTTTTTTTTTATATGTAGAAATGGTACCGTTATTGTAGCTAATGATAGATGTTAGATAACGGTCGGATGTTCTTGCTACAAACTCTCTGCAGGGGTGAATGACATGTTATTGCTGATAGAATGGGAAATGCTCTTTTTTTTTTAAAATAAAAAATAAAAAATAAAAATAAAAAAAAATATGCGAGAAATGAGTTTTAAAAAGTTTTCTTTCTAATCGATGATGAGTGGAGTATTTAATAAAATTTATCATCACTTCTTTTATGAAAAGTAATAATATGTTATCTCTCCTGTTTAAAACGTTATAAAAAAAAAAAAATAATAATAATAATAAAAATCGTCGCTGTGACGTAATTCGAGCACGCGCTTAATTAAAATACGTATACAATAAATATGTTGTATGTTTATTTGTTATTTTTATCACGTGATTAATTAGTTTTTGAAAAGTTAATTAATTTTTTTAATTATTTCATTAATTTCTGGTTATTATTTTTCAATAATTCTCGAGAATTGATAATAATCGAATCGATTTCTTTACTTTTATTTAAATTGTATTTTTAATGTATTCTTTTAAAATTGATTTATATAATTAAATTTTTTTTTATTATTTTTAAATTTGTTTTAGTTTTAAATTAAATAAAATAAGCAAAAAAAAAAGAAAGATATTCTGTACTTTTAACCAATTATGTCCGAGTCACGTGGTTAAATTAATAAGTGTCACGTGAATGATAGCTACCTTTATTTAAAATTTAAATTTTGTATTAACGATGTTTAACGATCTTACAATTTTTTAAAAGTGCTAAACCTATTAGCGGCATTAATATTAATATTTGAAGGAGAAGGATTGTTTACCGAAAATTTAAAACCTAATTTTAAATAATTGTACGGGCTTAGCAAATGGATCACTCCAGTAAAAATTTAAGCTTAAATGGCTTAAGCTAATATTTCTATTATAATTATACAACATAAAACGAACTTTTATGTAATAAAATATTTATTTTAAAGTCACGTGAATCCGTTCGACCAATCAACGTTAGCCAAACGACTTAAAATTCTCATTTATCATTGGCTAGCTCGATCACGTGGTATCCGCCATTTTGCTTTTTTTACATACTTTTTTTCATACTATTTGTAGCGTTTTTATCCATTTAATTTTCGAGAATTACGCGAAATATAAATTATTCTTAAAGCCTATTAAGTATACAAAATATATTATACAGATATTTCAAGTAAATATTAAACGAATTGCGCCATTGGTATGTTATAAAGTAGGCTTAACTAGTATCAGGACTCCTTCATATTTATAACTTATTTAATTAATTATGGATGCGAATTATTTATATTTATCTCATAAATAACGAGTTTTATTAGCTTTAAAATGGCTCAGTAGACACGAATTTCGTTTTATTCAGGTATGACTCGAAATTCTTGTCTAACAAGCCATTTGCCTAAAGCTTTGGATTAATATAGGCTTTATATGGACCCAAAACGACCTTTGAACTCGTTAATCTTAGATCCTTGAACCCACAGGGAGCGGGAAGACACACGAGCCTCTGACACGTGCAGTGGCGCGTTATCCTATGGGTAAAAGGGGCAATTGCTTGGGGGCCCAAACCAATCTTTAATAAGGATATACGTCCCTCGAAGAAAAATGTCTATACAGTACGTGGGGCCCTTTAATTCAAATTTGCTACTGGACACGTGCCTTTCCATTCCATTTCGGTTGTCGTGAGGCCCCAACTGTACTGGAGGGCCCAGAATCTCTCATGACCTTGCCTGAGCATAGAACGAGTTCAAAGATATATGATCTTGCTTTGTATCTTAATTCATCTTAAAAAAAATGAATTATTGATAAAATACCATCTTAAAGATCATTTTTTAATGATAATTTAATAAATGATCACACAAATTACATTAAAAAAGTATTTATTTCAATATTTTATATCATCTTGTTACTAATATACTGTATATAACTCTACCAAACTACAATTTTAATATTCATACTTATGTAATTTTATACAATGCAACTCATCCAACTTGCAATTTGGACTCTTAGAATTATTTTACACATTTTAATATACTTAAAATCTACTAAAGTAATTATAAATCCTTTTTGTTTCAATTGAATTTCATGTTATGTCTTTGAAAATTGAGCTTTCTAAGGTAATTTATAAAGCATTTAATTATTAAACTTTCTTTTTAAATTTTGCTTAATAAGCTGACATTTTATCTTATGATTTAAATGTAGAAAATTCTAAATGTCAGATCATGACTTGTTAAATATTTTTGTGTATGAATATAATAGTAAATAACTTGTTCTTATATACTATAAATTAAATTTTCAAACAATTTATTTACATAAAATGCATTAGAATGAATGAAAATTTTAATTCTCATTTACTTTTTTAAACTTTTTTCAGTTATTTCAATAGAACAATGAAGATTTCATAAGGTAAATATTTTGTTTTATTTATAATATACATCATCCACATTATATTATCGATATAAAATATAGTAAAATATTTTCATAATAATGCCTTTATATACATTCACTGGCATGAGTAAGGGGGTATAACATCCCCAGAAAATAAAAATTGAATCTACATACAGATTTTTAAAGTATTTCTATGCTCTAAAATCATTTGTATTAGTAAAATATAAGAAGATATGTATCTACCCCTATCCAGCTACTTCACTGCATACAGGCCTATGTTCTATCATAGAAAGTGCAAATATAAGCCTTGATTTTTGTTGTAATATCTGATATAATGTTTTAAAAAAGGCTGGAATGTAATTTATGTTTTAAATTTATTTCATAATAACTAAAATACGCTTGGAATTTCATCAAATATCAATTGATATCTCTTATCAAACTGCTGATAGGAGGGTGGAAAAATCTGCCAAGTATAAGTGGGTACAACTCAGTTTTTACCTTTAAATTTACATTACTTAATAGTTATTATATGAATATTAGTTTGTCTAGTTGAGATTCGAGATTTACAGTTCAGGAAAGTCGTAGATTTTGGAAGTTTTTCTGTATATTTAGCTATTATTGTTACATTTAGTCGTTATATACACGACGTTTCTTGTTTCTTCTACCTTTTGAATTGGTCCAGTGTGACCTTTGTAGCCTTTGTCCTCTCCAAAAACGACCATACAGATGAAATTACACTTGTAAAACGTCACAATTGGCAAGCGTAAAATGTAAACAATAAAAATATTTTTAGTATTTACATTTATACGTCATAATAGCTAAACAAATCATTGTTTTTCTTTAATTATAAGCACACGAAAGCTGTTCATTCAAGTGATATACGAGTAAGGCTTCTTTGTCATGCTTCTATTCTTACAGAATTCGTTAGTAATATTCATAATTTTTTAATTAACAGAATTGACTTTAACCTTTAGATATGCTTATTTTGAGCATAACTTTATACATTATTTTGCTTATATTCTTGTGTAATTACATCGACAGCCGAATAATGTGGATTGACTACAATAAATAAGTGAAATCTGTGTAAAACGGACATTTATATTCGTACAGAAGTAAATTTTTCTTTGATAATTTTGAGAAATTTCGCTCGAATTATGATAAACATTTCAAGAAATTTTATATAAATTAGCTACTTACTAATTAATTCTACAGCTTGGGGGTGGCATTAAAATTAAACTACAGTTTTGTTTGATAATAATAATAATAATTTAATGTAGCTCCATTACTCGAGAATCCCGAAAATAACGTATGCTCTACAGTATAATTTTGATTTATTTTCGATAAAATTTGCTTTACTGTTTAATAAAGTAGATAAATTTAGCGAAAATTCACTTTAAACGGATACACGACGAATTAGACAGGTGATTCAGATAAGTTTACTTAAGACGTGATTACAGTAAAACCTTCCTTACGCGGATAGGAGCATCACCATCCAGAGTAAATTAAAATAATAAATCTCCTCCGTAACGGGAATTTCTTTATGTGAGGATGATGTTTTCGCCTTATACAGGTTTCACTGTATCTATAAATAAATTTATCCAGTTTAATCTTTATATAGATATAATTTTTTTCCCTTCGAAACTTCGGAAATACCGAGAAGGAAGTGGGGGAAAAAAAAGAAAAAAGCATAGGGCTATCATCAGTCGCAACTGTGCTTCTCATAACTGGACCTAAAAATTGTTTTCTGTCACTACTCGACAGAAGGTAGGGAGAAAAATGTATAGGTTGCTTTTTTTTCTTCTACTCTCTCTCTTAGATAAAAATAATAAATTTAAAATATAAATTTGGATCCACTCCGCTTGGGATCTGAATCCAAGAAACAATATTCTTTTGCAAGAAGCGATTTTAAAAAGGTTGTTTCGAGTTCTAACTCATACTCTCTTTCTTTCTTCCTCCCTTTTTTATCTCGAGAATCAAAGTAGCAGATGGTACAAGGCGCATTATACTGCTGAATCTAAGTGCAATAACTACAGTAAAAAGGAAAAAAAACTATATATATATACAGATATATTTCCTAAGGATTTATTGAGAGGGAGGAAGTGGTTTATCAATAATAAATTGAAAATCAATGTAGATAAAACTGATTATTCTGTTTTGTCGTATAAAGTCAAGTTTGCTCTCATTTAATAGAAAATATTATTGGTTTAACAGAATTTATATATATATATAGAAACCTCCCTTCAATAAATTGAAGATAGTAAAATGTCAGGGTATTCTTCTACGAGATGGCCAGATGTTTATTGATATATATTTGCATAAAAATATGCTCGAAAGTCTACGATAAGTAGCTTTCTACCATGTTAACATAAATAATATCCAGTGGCACATTACCCGGTAGGCGCACTAGGGCCTCGTCGTCTAGAGGGGCCCCAGAAAGTTAAGTAACTAACGTTTAAAAAGTATAACGCCCCGGAAAGAACGGTGACATAACTCCTAAATTATATATTTAAAAAAAAAAACACTTTTACATAAGGGCCCTATAAGAAAATCATTACGCCTAGGGCCTCATAGCTACTAGATAAAAACTCCATGTATAGGGTCCACTGTAGAAAATAACGCTGCATTCTTATGTTGGATAACCCTTAATTTGATTACTAACGATTACAAAAATGTTATTTTTATTGACCTTACGATAATCCAAATGACACAAAACTAAAAATAAGACGAATAAAATTAGTTTCTGGCCTTCCCCCCTCCTAAATTTAGATGCATATTTTAATGTTAAAATTCTAAACGACGATATCAAAGTTCGTTCTTAATGACAGAGAAGTCATATTTATTTTTCTTTGCTTCCAGTTTATGTATCAATAAAGCCGTGAAGATAACGAAACGGTGAGTTTTATTTTTAATTCAGTTCTTTTTTATTATTATTATTATTATTAAAATTTTAATAAGGGACAAATACACTTTTTCTTCTTCTTTTTCTTCCTCTTCTTCTTCTTCTTCTTCTTCTTCTTCTTCGCTGCACCAAAAGCCGTCTGGCTCCATATTCAATCAATAACAATTCTACGCTTTTTAACACAACTGTAAAATTTTTAGAAAAAAAAAAATGCCGTTTTAATGTAGTTTCATTCCCTAATTAATTCTCTATTGGGTTATTAATAGTTTCCTAAGAATTGCGGTTTCTAGAGGGGGGACAGAACGAGCTAATTGGTAAGCGCTTAATAACCTCCTCCCCGTAACAGTTTTATGCTAGAGTTTAGTAGCATTTATAACGGCGCTAGAAGCAGGAAGGGGGGATGTTTTATTTAATTTTTACGATTTTTTTCGGTGTTTTTTTCTTTTTAAATTTCAATAAAGAAAGCGTGCAACTTGATTTCTGTATTGGTGTCCTACTTTGAAATCATCGAATGCATTAAGAGACACTAAAAACATCCTTCGTCCCTAGTGTATTGATCACAGTGAAAATCCAATTTTTGTACTTTAGTTGAAAATAAATTTATGACCGTTTTCTTCCTACGCCTTTAAACACTTCGTTGGCAATTCTTCTCTCTTTTACCAAAAGATTCGAAGCACCGGGAGATAAAAATTGTTATTATTATGTCAACGAAAAGACAGAAAACAAGAGGGAAAAAAATAATTATAATTATAATAATAATAATCTTAGGGAAGAAGTCGTAAAATATTTTAAAATAATATTTAAAACATCAAAAGTAACGTGTAAAATTTTATTCCATAGAAAATATCTCTCTTCTAATTTTATAAAGTAAGAGTGGACATTGTTTTCATAAATTTAATCTTTTAGAATGTCAGGATGCGCTGTTAGCTTTTAAGAGGGGGAGTATTTTTTTTTTTTTTTTTGTTTTGTTAAAGCTTATTTTCTTGCTTCTACGACGTTTTTAAATGCACATATTCCACTTTACAAGCGCGAATTAACTGTTTATCATCGTTCCGGAGCCTTGTTTAGTAAGACATAAAGATAAATTACAATTATTTTATTGGAAACCGTAATAAAAAAACACATATTTTAACTTCATAAAGCTTAGAATGTAACTCGTGTTAATCGAGTCGATATATATATTTCGGGGGTTTTTAATTCGTCGCTTAATAAAGCTTTCGTGTGCCGAAATAAGAGAAAAAAATTCCCGCAAGATGGCAGCATTACGTCAATATTTCGATTCGAATTTCGTTTCTTCTTCGGCTTTTATTAGGGTTTTTAAAAGCGTATTCCGGTTGATTGTTTTGCCTTTAAAACACCGCCTTAACACCTTCCCTCTATAAATCTCGTTATTCACTTCTTCTTCTTTCAAGCCCGGGGTGTAACTCAGATTTACCTCAACCCGCCCTAGTACCTAATTTTACACCTGAGGTCAATATACGCCTGTATTGTTTAACGAATTTCGAACGCATCTTTATTGTTTTCACACCATAAATTCATTAAGCTCATTGCTCTCTGTTGCTTTTTGACTCCTTCCGCCGTACGCAGGTTCGAGGTTTTGCTCTAAATTCCACGTTTGTAGGGGGTTATACATTTCTACATTTCTTTCGTAATGTGTTTATAAACACAGCTGACGTCATTTCTTCTTTGTCTCCTCTGTAGGTCAAGCAGAAAAAAAAATCCGTGTCATTAAAAAAATAACTCATTTTTTTTCTCTCTCCTTTCGGCATCTAAAAACGCATTTCTATTCAAAATATATTCTTAAAAAATGGTTAAATTCTTGACGAAATTTACGTTTTATCAGCGCTAAACCCTCAAGAATCTATAGAACGACGTTTTAATAAATATTAATGCCGTTTTGCGTTACATAAAATCAATATAAAATAAGATAAATTTAAGAAAATACTTAATAAAAACCCATCGGGTTTGTTCCCCCCGCTCCCCTCTTTAAATTATTTATATAACGATTTATTTTTAAATTATTTATGGTCTTGCTGTACGAAGTTTCCGACTCATTTTATGTTAAAATTAATGCGATTTCAACATCTTTTGCTTGCGAAATTTACTGCTTCGATAGGCCTACTCTTTCTCACCGTATAGAAGGAAAATTGTTGGGGATTAAAAGCTTGCAACGTTTCTTTTCGTTACCATTACCTTTAATTCTTCAGATATGTTCTGGAGATATTAAGGGGATGGGCAATATCTCCCCAATCAACTGTTCGATTTACCTGAAAATTTCCAGAAACATTTTCCTTTAACACACAAACTTCCCTGCAAAATTTCAGAAATTTTCGTCGAGTTACTAAGCTTTAAATCGGATGAAAGTAACCGTAACCTCCCACAAATACATACACTAACATCTGTACAGTACATAGAGGTATACTTCCCCTCTGTTACGTGAAAGTAGAAGTATAAACTCCGTAACGAACGTTAGGAAGTTATAAACGATGTTGACCTCATTACGCAATGATTATTATAATATTATCTTTCTAAATTTACAGTTAGTAAATTTACACTACGTCTGACTAATTTGTTGCATTCAAAAATACAGTTAATTACTTTTCATTTAAACGGCATGGCCCTCGGCATCGAAGCGCACGCTCGACTCAGCTGTTGAACCTGTTTTTTTTCGTGTAAAAAATAAAAAGAAACGGGGGAAAAAAAACAGTATAAAATAGCCGAGTCGAGCTGCTATTTTTACGAATTTGATCCTAGTGTTACTAAGAAAAACCTATTTATAATAGCGTATAGAATAGTTAAACCGCACACTAGTTGTATTAAATTTGCGGTAGGAGCATTAGCTGGAGTTCGTTACCAAATTAGCAGCAAAACAGAGCCTGTAAATTTAATCATTGGTGTGGGGTCTAAAAGCCACAGAGAGACGAGTCGCACGCGTGGGATAAACATAACCCAGGAGACACATCTTTTGTCTGTTGTGTAGTGCAGTTTCTAAACAATGCCAAACACAAGGACAAGAGCTGCTGCGTGCGGGACGAAATTTTCTTTTTCCCCAAAACGCACTTATTGTTCGAAGATATTTATCATTTTCGGGTCGAAATTATCTATCACCAAGTCTAAAAGCAAAAGACAATTACTTTATTATCTCCATGTTTGGAAACCATCATCGAGTGAAACTTAATGATGCTAAAACCCTTAAAGGGCGCTGAAAAAGAGCTTAATTATAAACCATCCAAAATCGATTATATCAACTCTCTCTACTCGCCGCCATTTTATCGATTCGAGTTTGCAAGGTTTATGAATAAAAGGATTGTTATTTACCAAAACAAATTACGGTTCGATACGTCACGTGCTCTCGTGGGGTCGACGGAAAATCGCCCGCGCCACCAAATTGGCACGTGGACAAAATCGTCACCAATCTCTCTCTCTCTCTCTCTTTCAACGTGTAGTTTGGTAGATAGGAATCGACTCGCGAAGCGAAAAAGAAATGGGAAGAAAGAGGGTGGTACTATAAAAGTTTTCGGGGGTGTGTAAAAGTTGACGGGAAAGTTCGAAAATTGTCTTGTTTCCTTTTAAAAGGTAATCGTTCATCGATTTTCCCTTGTAAGGAAAGGTTTTCCCCCTTCCTACCTCCCTCCCTCCTTCCCTACCGCCCTTCTCCCCCCTTTGAAAAATGTTAAAGAATTCTCTAAGTTAAATTTATCAAAAGTTTGCATTTTTAAGTATTGTACTGGGTTTGTGCGTGATTAATCGTTGCAAACGTCAGAAATTGGAGATAAAATGGATACTTGGGTTTTAAAAAATAGGATTTTCCGGGATTTTTCCTTTTCTCGTTGTCGAAGATTTTCTTTGAAGAAAAGAGAAAAATTGCGGGAGGGGATCCGCTCTCCGAGACTAAAAATACTTCTTTTTGTTTTCCTTCTTTTGTTTTTCTTCTTATCCCCCTCCCCATTTTATGGCTTATTTTCCAGTGAAGAATATATTAACACCTTAAGCAATATTAAGAAATTAGGTTTATATACCTTATATGTAGAAAAGGAGTAACTGCGAAGAGTCTTTTGGAAGAAAACATTGTGGTGGGATGTTTAGAGAATGGAAAACTGTGGCGAAATCTTTAAAAGTGAGAATCTTTAGAGAGAGAAAAAAAACAACGGCTGAGCCTTTAGAGAGGAAACACAATGGTAGATCCTTTAGAGTGGGAAAAACAGTAGTAGAGTCTTTAGAGTGGGAAAAACAGTGGTAGAATCTAGAGGAAACACAATGGTAGAGCGTTCAGAGAGGAGAAAACAGTGGTAGAATCTCGAGGAAACACAATGGTAGAGTCTTTAGAGGAGGAAAAACAGTAGTAGAGTCTTTAGAGTGGGAAAAACAGTGGTAGAATCTAGAGGAAACACAATGATAGAGCGTTTAGAGAGGAGAAAACAGTGGTAGAATCTCGAGGAAAAACAGTAGTAGTCTTTAGGAAAAACAGTAGTAGTCTTTAGAGAGGGAAAAACAGTAGTAGATTCTTTGGTGAAAGAGAAAACTCTGTTATTATCTTTAGAAGTTGGTAAACAATACGAAATTTTAGAGGTGAGAATTCTTTACAGAAGCAGTTTCGTATTATTTCATGAATATAATCACATCTAGTTATATTCGCATACAAATGCGATATTGCCCTTTCTATTCTACACTGGAGAAGAGGGCAATTCTCGTGTGAACACACAATGTAGGTTAGTGTGCGTGTCGTCGACTCGGTGTGAAATTTAAAGATTATGTAATCATCACAAGGAATAAATCAACTAGAAGATCGCCCTCTATCCAATCTAACAGATAAAATTCACTTAAAAATTCAAATTCGAGTGAAATCAAAGTAACTTTAATGTTTATATAATTGAATGGGAGTGCTTTAATTTATTATTATTTTTTTTTACTCGCTGATACATCTAAAAAAAACATCCCTTTTACAAACTCCTTTAAAGTGTCCTAAGATATTCGGTGTTGTATACATCTTGTAAATCAATAACTCCGGATCCAACACGCTTCCATGTTGTCGCCTTCCCCCCTTTTTTTAAATCAAAATTTAACTTATTTTTCC